GTTGTTTGGCAGGCCCGGGCTAGATTCAAACCCACCACCTTAGGTGTATGCGACTGGCGCCTTAGCCACTTGAGCCACAGGCGCCAAGCCTATTTGGTAGATCCTTAACTCCTTAAGGGAACCTGCTTCCTAATAGTGTCGATCCTAAATTGACTCTATTAACAACAAAAAGAATGAAGCTGAGTCACACACAGTAGGTTAAACAAACCTTTTCATTGATTGTGCTTCTGTGGGCAAGACTCCTGAGTTCCTCTGTATAAAATGAGGGGATAGTATGTTGGTAAAGATGTATTTTACTTTATTTTTTGAGACAGAGTCTTACTCTGTCATCCTGGGTAGAGTGCCAGGTCATCATTGTAGCTCACAGCAACCTCCTGGGCTCAAGCGATCCTGTTGCCTCATCTGCCAAGTAGTTGGGACTACTGGTGCCTGCTACCAATTCCTGCTGGCTTTTCTAATTTTAGTAAAGACCAGGGTCTCACTCTTGCTTAGGCTGGTCTTGAACTTCTGACCTCAAGCAATCCACCCACCTTGGCCTCCCAGAGTGCTAGGAGTACAGGATTAAGCCCTGCATCCGCTCAAATCCTCTGAGCTTCCACTGAAACACTGCAGAGTAATGCCAAGGCATTGTTTTTGTATCTTTTTATATGCTGTCCTCAATTTGAATATTGGCTTTATTGACCTTTTAAAACATATCTGTCAGGCATATGAGAGTATGAGGGTTTATATGTGGAGTTGTTTAAATAGAATTATCATATATGTTCGGCAGTTGCAGCACAGAGGTGTGATAGAGGACCTCTCTGCCATATTGGACAGAAGTTTTATCTTCTACTCCCATACAATCATGATATAAACCACTTCAGACATCAAAGGAACATTGACAAGTAAATTTTCCATTTAGAGTCATAATTCTCACCATTGAACTATATTCTTTTCAAAATGTTTCAAGGCATGTGATGTCAAGGTTAATTGTGATAAACAGAATGCAGTACGGGGGCATTTTAGCTATTAAAGACCTCTAAAGTTTAGAATAGGATTGCTTTGTCTTAATCATATGTTAGATGTGTTCCCTTCAATGTAGGATGCACAGTTACATTCAAATGAAAGGTTCTAGTTTATTCAGTCTGAATATTGCTGTTTGTTGCATAAGCATTTCCAGCAGGAATTTCACCTTAACTTATATGTCCCTGCAGTCAAATACTAGGATGATCGTTGCCTCTTGAGATTCTATATTGACACACTCCTTCTGTGCTGCCTCTTGACTGTGTTGCCTACTTTAGCTGTAGGGTTGTTTCATGTACTAGAGGGAAAAAAGCAAACCATATTCTCCCTAAATTTAAAAGCTCAAGTGTAGAAAAATCAGAACTAAATTGAAAGTATAACAAATTTTTTTAGTTCTGTTTTTTTGTTTGTTTCTTTTGAGTCAGAATCTCACTGTCATCCTGGGTAGAGAGAGAACTGTGGCATCCTTCTTAGCTTATAGCAACCTCAAACTCTTGGGCTCAAGCAATCCTTTTGCCTCAGGCTCCTAAGTAGCTGGGACTACAGGGGCCCACACAATGCCCAGCTAGTTTTTCTATTTTTGGTACTCTTGCTCAAACATCTGAGCTCAGATAGTCCTCCGGCCTCAGCCTCCCAGAGTGCTAGGATTAGAGGTATAAAGTCACTGTGCCCAGCTAACAAATTTACTATTTACTTCTTAGACAGAATGGCTATTATGCCATTTTGGTTTTTTAAGAAGCAGGGCTTCACTCTGTTGCCCAGGCTGGGGTGGCACAAGCATAGCTCACCTCAGCCTCAAACTCCTGGGCTGAAGCGATCCTTCTGCTTCAGCCTCGTGAGTAGCTAGGACTATAGGCACTTGCCACATGCCCAGCTAATTAAAAACTTTTTTTTTTTTTTTTTTTTAGAAACTGAGTCTTGCTGTGTTGACTAGGTTAGTTTCAAACTCCTGGCCTGAAGCAGTCCTCCTGCCTTGGCCTTCCAAAGTGCTGAGATTATAGGTGTGAGCAACCACACCCAGCTGCCATTTCATATGTAACTGGGTGACAGAGTTACAATTCAGCCTGCAGAGTAAAATGAAGATCTAGTTTAAAGCTATCATCTGCAGTTATAGGAGATATTACTTAGTCTGATTTTTAGGTGAACTTGCATAAGACTTCCGAAACCACCTTAGTTACCTTTCAGAAAGTCATGGAAAGCTGTTTACATTTATTTTAAAGCCCAGTTGCTTTCATGTGGAATTGCACTCTTTTTTTTATACTTACACATAATAAATCTTTTATTTCTTCTTCATTATTTTACAAGTGAAAATATCTAAAGCCCAGAGCAGTTAAAAAACCTTCTTCCGATTAACCATTACTAAAATATTAATTATATCTCCAAAGCGTTGTCAGTTTTTGTATACTTTCATGTGATCCTCCAGCATCTATCTTTTTGGAATTGCACTCTTTCAGCAATATTTGAAACCAACAATGGGTTGGGCACTGTTCTCAAGGTACATGTGAAACATTGGCTTTATCTTTTATTAGGTCTGTGTTGTGGCATTTTTACATTATACACATCAAGGCAAGGGCTGAGAGGTGGGCCCCATTAAGGGTTATTAAAAGAACTCATTGGCCCAGGAAAGAAGGCAGCTCAATTTGACTTAAAAATCTTCTTCAGGTTATGCAAGAGGTTTATTCATTTATTTGATAATTCAGATTTTTAAAAGTACCAAAGGGTATAAAGTCTCCCTTCACCCGTGCCCCACCTACCCAGTGTTACTAGTTTGTTAAACCTTCCTGGAGGTATTTTCTTAGAACTTTCATAGCTCCATGTAAGTAACGTTTCGTATCTTGCTTTTTCCTTTGGCTGAAAATGCTGAGGAAATTTTCACTTTAGTATGGATAGAGTTGTCTCATCTTTCTGCTGTTAACAAAAAACTATAATGTGAATTAACCATATATTGTAGGATAGATTCCTAGTAATGGACTTTTGTGGGGTAAAAAGCTTTATGCTTTGCAGTTTTGACATACATTGCCAGTTTGCCTATTACGATTTGTAACTCTTGTTACCTTCATATATGCACTCCACAGCAGTACATAAGACAGTAGACACGAAGCCTGGAAGCATAGGTGAACTATAAATATTAAATGAGCTATTAATATTCCATGACATAATATGGTTAGTGACATTTACATACATTCATCATTTCTCACTTATTAGCAATACAGAATTATCATTAATCTCTGTGCATATACCCAATGAGTTATCTCTGACGATATGTATCTCTGAATTTTTGTGGGGGGCGGGGAAGAGGCAGCGTCTCTCTCTTAGTCCAGCTAGCGTCTCTCTCTTACTCTAGCTAGTGGCGTCATCAGAGATCACTGCAACCACATTATTTTATTCTTAGAGTTGTTTTTAAGAGACAGGATCTCATCCTTGCTTGGGCTGGTCTTAAACTCCTGACCTCAAGCCTCAGCTTTCCAAAGCATTATGATTATAGGCATAAGTCACTGTGCCCATCCTGAATGTTTTAACTGGTTAAAACTGAAATTACTTGGCCTTGTGGTCCTGGTGTATAAGGATTCTATTTTTCTGATATTTGTATTCTTACTAATAAAAAGAACTCCCATTTTTGTATATCCTTGCAACTGAGCATATTTTCTCAGTTCTACTTTGTCAATTTGATAATTTCCAGGAGTGTTTCCATACAGTTTTATTTTGTATTTTTTATGTGTGAGGCTAATTGAATATCTTTTTTTTTTTTTTTTGAGACAGAGCCTCAAGCTATCCCCCTGGGCAGAGTGCCATGGCATCACAGCTCAAGCAACCTCCAACTCCTGGGCTCAAGCAAGTCTCCTGCCCCAGCCTCCCAAGTAGCTGGGACCACAGGCGCCCGCCACAACGCCTGGCCATTTTTTGGTTGTAGCCATCATTGTTGTTTGGCGGGCCCTGGCTGGGGATTCAAACCCACCACCTTAGGTGTATGTGGCTGGCGCCCTAGCCGCCTGAGCCACAGGCGCCGAACCTGAATATCTTTTAAAAGAAGTTTCATGTTCATAGTAATTTAGTTTTTTTGATGGAATGAACCATGACATTTGCAACTCCATTCCCCTCACTTGTCCTATAAACATGTAGTAAACCAAGAAAATATGTTTGTTAATACTGCTAAAGCAAAGTATTCTTTGGAATGAAAGCCTGGGAGGCCTGTTTGAGCATATAGAACCAAACTTTTTTTTTTTCTTTCTTTCTTTCTTTTCCTTTCTTTAAAGTGACAAGGCTCTCTGTTGTGCAGATTGTTCTCTCTGTGCAGTGTGTCGTCATAGCTCACGGCAGCCCCAAACTCCTGGCCTTAATCAGATGTCCTGCCTCAGCCTCCTAACTAGCTGGAACTATGGGCATGCACGATCATGCCCTGCTAGTTTTTTTTTTTTTTTTCCTTGCAGTTTTTGGGGCCGGGGCTTGGTTTGAACCCACCACCTCCAGTATATGGGGCCAGCGCCCTAGTCTTTTGAGCCACAGGTGCCACCCTGCTAGGTTTTAAAAAAAAATTTGTAGAGGCAGGGTCTCCTTGTGTTGCCTGATTTGATCTTGAACTCCTGGGGTCAGGCAGTTCCCACTTTAACCTCCCCAAAGTGCAGGAATACAGGTTCACACTAGTGTCTGCCGCTCAAACGCTAGAATAATGTGTACTTAGGTTTCACTGAGCATCATTGTGTTCCTCCTTTGTAATTCAAATCTTGTATTATCCAAAGTTTTCATGATCCTGAGATAGGTGGGTTGCCTCGCTTGATTTAGAATAATTTTTTTATATTTGTGCTGTATACAAGTTATTTACTTTCTTTAACATTTGGAGACATTTATTTGTATGTAACATGGTTCCAAAAGTTGCTTATTTCAGTTGCTTTTTTCCTTTGAATTAGTTGGTGACAAAGTTCCTGCTGATATAAGATTAACTTCCATCAAATCTACAACTCTAAGAGTTGACCAGTCAATTCTCACAGGTAAATATTACATATTGAAAGATCATTGCATTTCTGAAGCCCTCTCTATCTCTTGCCCCACTGGCCTTATACCATCTTAATCTTCTCAAGAAACTTATTTTTTAGTGCTTTATCCATAAGGTTTTTGGCCATTGTAGCCTTAAAACCCTGATTTAAAATTAAAACAAACTTGGCTTTTTAACTTTAAGAAAACATTAGTTTTGATTGCAGATAAAATTACTATTATGTTTTTACATGTCTAAAAAGGTTACAAATTCTTTTATTAGCAGAGGTGGTAATCTTAAGGTTGAAGTGTCTTTTAGTTTCGTGTAAAAGTAAATTACTTATTCAGTGTTTTCTTTTGTTTTTGGTAGAAAAATAGATTCCAGTGCTATAATTTGTTTCATTGGAAGAATGTTTATTTTGTATTTTTTGTACTTTACAATAATCAGTTGTACAATTAACAAAGTTAATTACCATAGAAGATGAATGTTTTACTACCTGAAGATTGTGCACACTTAGGTTTTGAATTGTTTGGAACATTTTTTTGTTTTTGTGTGATAAAGGCACGGTCTGGGGTGGAGTTCATAGTAACTGGCAGTGAGGTGTCAGAAGATTGACTATAAATACAGTGCTGCCTAGATTAAATAGTACATGTAAAATCTAAAGGCTTTATCTGATTATTGGTTTTGAAAAGCGCTTAATGTCATAGAGGTATATGAGTAATTTGGGCTCTAATTTTTT